TATATATGAAAAAGAGAATAAATGTGTGATATGTGTACACATGCATATACATATACATATTTATGAGATACCCGCACATTAGATTGTTACACAGCCATAAGAAAGAAGGAAATTCACCTTTTGCAACAACATGGGTGGCCCTTAAGGACATTATGCTGATATAAGTCAGAAAGATACCCTATGTTCTCACTAATATGTGAATATCAAAAAAGTTGATTTCATAGAAATAGAGTAGAATGGTGGTTGCCAGAGAATGGGGACTGGGGAAATGCAGATTGTTGTTCAAAGTTTACAAACCTCCAGTTATAATTTGAATAAGTTCTAGGAAGCCAATATCCAACATGGTGACTAAAACTAGCATTACTGCAATATATTCTTTTTTTTTTTCAATAAGAGTAATTTCATTTTATTTTTTATTTTTTCATTTATATATGTTTTACATCATTGTTCATTTTTATTTTTTTAAGATGTATTTATACATACAAGAGCTGGGGTACAGGCCAGAGATGTAGGGGTGAGAGGACTCACCAGAGACAGAGTAGGGAACAGAACAGGCAGACTAACTGAAATATACTGCTGAGGGGAACCGCGGGCGAGTCAGGAGAGGTCTGCTGCACCATGTGGGTTGCTCCCTGGCCAGCCGGGAATTGAACTCATACTGTAGAGGCTGCGGACTGCCCCATAGTGCAGCACTCAACCCCTTGCGCCACCAGGAGTCCCCATTGCTCATTTTTAAACAATGTTTGCTTCCACCGCATCAGGTGTAGTCCCCATAGAATTTCCCTCACCAATGCCCCCATGCACCATCCCCTCAGCCCCCTTTGCTCCTCTCCCCCTCCCTCCCTCTGATCCCTCTCCATCTGATCCCTCTCCCTCCTCCTCCCCTGCAGGATGTCTCTGATTTATAATTGTCTGTCTGTTTTTATTTTGTTGTGTTTTATATTGTTATTAATTTCCCCCCTCATGTCTTATTTTACTGCATTATGTTCTTGAAAAATATTGAGAGTAGATGTTAAATATTATCACCACACACCAAAAAAAAAAAAATGACAATTTCATAAGGAGCTGGAGATGTTAAATAACCTTATTGTTATAGACAAATCACAATATATGTGTGCATCAAACCATCAGATTATAAACTTAGGTATGTCAACAACATTCCAATGAAGTTAGAAAAAAAAATCTGTGTGACAAAATCAAGAACACAGAAATAGATCCTTATTTTATGAAAAAGTTGATTTCATAACAGATGGCCATATGTCAATCTAGAGTTTTTAGGTAAAAAATAATAGATATTCTACATCACTCTTTTCCTTACCAAAAATTAAGTTAAATAAAACACCTACATATGACTCAGAAAAGTAAGAAGCTTTCAGTTCAAACACCCAGAAATCATCAAGTATAAATTTTGACTAACAAAAATTCAAAACTTTCTATAGACCTAACATACCATACATAGATTATAAAGCCAGAGGCAGTCAGACTGAGGGAAAGCATTGTCAGTGTGCATAACTATCAATGTTATCCCCATTAAAAATACAAATAAAATCTCACAACTAGTTGGAATAGAAAAGAAATTAAATGATTTAAAGATAAGGTTAAACATTTCACAAAGGAAACTGAATGCCTAATACATATTTTAAAAATTACCAAATCTCATTAATGTGTCAAAAAACAATGTAAAAATAAGATACTGCTTTTCTCAAAATGTTTTCTGCAAAATATTTAAAGCCTAACAAGATCAAATATTTGAGATATATAGTGAAAGTGGGAATTTTCCTTCACTAATGAGCAGTTTTTCAGTGAAAACTAAACATCTGCCTGCCCTATGAATTTGGCTTCTGGGCTTAAACACTAGAGAAAAGCCTTGCTTGTGTACATAAGAAGTCATGTACAAAGAAGTCTGTTATGACACTTTAACAATAAGAAATCAGAATTAGGGCCTCCCTGGTGGCACAGGGTTTAAGATGAAACCTATGAAGCTATCTGCAGCCACTTCAACATGAGTTCGATCCCCAGCCAGGGAGCTACCCACATGGTGCAACAGACCTCTCCTGTCTTGCCTGCTGCTCCCCTCAGTAGTGTATTTCAGTAGATCTGCCTGTTCTGTTCCCCACTCTGTCTCTGATGAATCCTTTCACCTTCCGCACCTCTGGCCTGTACCCCAGTTCTTGTATGCATAAATAAATGAATCTTAAAAAAAAGAAATCAGAAGTAATGTAATATAATGTATACCTATCAGTTAGAATAATATACAGCAGTTTAACTTCTCTGAAGAGGAAATGAAAATGGCCAACAGGCATATGAAAAAACATCACTTGTAATCAGGGAAATGCAAATCAAAACTACAATGAGATACCCTTACACCAGTGAGAATGGCACATATTAAAAAAACTAGCAACAACAAATGTTGGCGAGGATGTGGAGAAAAAGGAACTCTCCTGAACTGTAGGTGGGAGTGCAAACTGGTCCAACCACTATGGAAAGCTATGTGGAGATTTCTGGACCTACTAAACATAGAGCTTCCATATGATCCAGCAATTCCACTCTTAGCTATTTACCCAAAGGACACAGAAACATCAATTCCAAAGAACACCTGCACCCCTATATTTATAGCAGCACTATTTACAATAGCTAAGCTTTGGAAACAACCCAAATTCCCAAAAATAGATGACTGGATCAAGATGATGTGGTACATATACACAATGGAATATTACTCAGCATTCAAAAAAGATAAACACATGCAATTTGCAGCAACATGGATGGAGCTGAAGGGATCATGCTCAGCGAAATAAGCCAGAAAGAAAAAGAAAAATACCGAATGGTCTCACTCATAGGAATCTAGAAAACTTAAATAAGGGACCAGGAAAATGAATAACTATAAGAAAGTGAAAATCAAAATCAACAAAAAACTATGAACCAGAGACACTCTATGGGGGGGTGGAGGGTGGGGAGGGGAGGGATTGGGGTCAAAATAAGGGGGTTGCAATTGTATGGGGAATATAAAAATAAAATTTATTTTAAAAAAATATACAGCAGTTTAAGAGGAAAGAACTATGAGTGTCTATGTGAGTCCAAGTGAGGAAAAAATCTTAAATCAGTGTTGACTTAAACAAGCCAGATACAAAATTATATTTATGAATACAAAATATCATCGAAAGATGACGTGCAAATAAATGCAAAAAAAAAAACATTTAAACTAACTGTATTGCTAAAGATGCCACATGTATATGAAAACTTTTTTTAAAAATACTGGTTACAAGGACTCCCCTGGTTGGCGCAGCGGTTGAGCGCTGGGCTGCGAAGCCATCCACAGCCTCTGCAGCACCAGTTCTATCCCTGGCTACTGGTGAGGGTTGAGGGTCCCACATGGTGCTACAGACCTCGCCTGCCGTGCCCACTGCTCCCCTCAGCAGTGCATTTCTTCATCAATCTGCCTGTTCTGTTCCCCGCTTTGGCATATTCTCTCACCCTCCCACACTTCTGACTACCCAGTGCTTGTACAAACAAATAAATAAATCTTAAAAAAAAAAAAATTAGTGCAACTCAAATTCATTCATAATAGTTTTCTTCTGTGCATTTGGATTGTTTCCAGGTTTTACCTATTGTAAAGAGTTCTGCAATAAACATAGGTGTAAAGGTGTTCTTTGCAATCAGTGTTTTTGTGTTCTTGGGCAGATCCCTAGGAGTGGAATTGTGGGGGTCATATGGTAGCTCCATTTTCAGTAGACTGAGGAAACTCCAGACAGCTTTCCATAGTGGTTGGACTAGTCTGCACTCCCACCAGCAATGTAGGAGAGTTCTTTTTTCACCACATCCTCGCCAACATTTGTTGTTGCTTGTTTTTTGGTTTTTTTTTTTTTTTTTGATACGTGAACCAAATAAGACATCAATGTAAAAAAAAAAAAATAACAACAGTACAAAACACAACAAAGCAAAAACAGACAATTATAAATCAGAGACATCCTGCAGGGGAGGAGGAGGGAAAGGGATGAGAAGGAGGGAAGGAGGAGCACAGGGGACTGTGGTGATGGTGCACTGGGGAAGGAAACTCCATGGGGACTACACCTGAGGGGGTGGGGGAGGTAAATATTGTTTAAAAATGAAAAACCATGTAAAAAATTAAAAAATGAATAAAATAAAGAATTTTAAAAATAAAATAAATACATACATCATTTTAAAAAATAGTTTTCTTCTGTGTAGGTTTCTCATTCTCACATGGAGTGGTTTTGTTTCTTAGAGTCATGGTGCATCAATATCTCCTTTTCAAATCTTACTTTTTCACAGATCTCCGCTTTTCTTTTCCATGCTTTGTCTTTCCAGTGACTTCCTAAAAGAACAAGCTTTTGCCCCAAAAGTGAATTACTTATTTCACCTCTTGCTATACAAAATTAAAAATCTCCTTATAACTTTGAAATTATTCCTAGCCTTATCAAGTTTCAAAATCTTATAACTGAAATTCTGCCAGGGCTTAGGCACAAAAGGCCATATGATCATCCTTTCCCAGCAAGTTCTTGCTCACCCTCATGCATCTTGTGTCGGGGTAACGGTCTGTCTTCATCTTGCTCAAATCTGTTTCAACTATAAGACACAAAATCTTGGGTGTATGAGGACAAAGGAAAAAGGCAAATATTCTGAGGCTGGCCACAGCAGAGGGAATTTCTTAAGTGCTTGACTCCATAGAGACAATGCCAAGCATGAGAGATGTGGTAGGGGTAGAAAGGAAAAATAGCAAAGGACCAACAAAGTTACAATTAAAATAGATTGGGGTGTGACACATTTCCTGATTCCACATAGACCAAGATATGAAAAGGAAGAATGAGCTCTCAAGTGGATCCTTTTTCCTTTAACATTCCCAAGACAATTATGTCCTAGCTTAACCCCCGCTTCTTTTCACTACTATTCAGGGTGTGATAGGCATGCTTACATGACATCAGTGAAAATGTAGTTTCTGTTTTTTTCTGACAACCATGCTAATTTGTTTGTGTTTTTTATTAAAGCCAGACCCGAGAAATCTACCAGTAAGTCCTACTTTTTTTTTAATGCTACTATTAGAGTTGATTTCTGGTAGTATCTAGAGACCTTTTTTTTTTTTTTTAAAGATCAATTAGTATTTTTTTTTATAAATTTTATTTTTATATTCCCCATACAATTTCAACCTCCCCATTCTGACCCCAGTCCCTCCCCTCCTGCCCCCCACCCCCCAAAAAATGTTTCTGGTTCATAGTTTTTTGTTGATTTTGATTTTCACTTTCTTACAGTTATTCATTTTCCTGGTCCCTTATTTAAGTTTTCTAGATTCCTGCTATGAGTGAGACCATCCGGTATTTTTCTTTTTCTTTCTGGCTTATTTCGCTGAGCATGATCCCTTCCAGCGCCATCCATGTTGCTGCAAATTGCATGTGTTTATCTTTTTTAAATGCTGAGTAGTATTCCATGGTATATATGTACCACATCTTCTTGATCCAGTCATCTATTTTTGGGCATCTGGGCTGTTTCCAAAGCTTAGCTATTGTAAATAGTGCTGCTATAAACATAGAGACCCTTTTATACCATTTTTAGTATGAATATACCAAGATTTAAGATTATGATTTCTTATTCTATGGTTAACTAATTTTTTCAGTTTTCCTGCCTTCTAATTTCTTGTTTTCCTAGTCCTTTTCCCAATATGTTGCTCCATTTTCAGCTACCAAATCCATTTAGAGGATACAAGGTGCTATAATAACAAATAGTTACCAACTACTTACAATGTGCCAAGAACTGTACTCAGGGCTTTATGTATGCACAAACATTATATCTAAGAAATATATTTATTCTTATTATAAAGAGAAGGAACTAGTAAAACTAGGTAACTTGCCTATGATCCCGTAATTACAAGTAGCAGAAGCAGGGATTCAAATCCAGGTCTGTTTATCTGACTCTGAAGTCAAGCAGTGCCTCCATTCTAGTTAGAGGATAAGAAATATGATCCCCTGGTGGTATAAGGGGTTAAGTCTCAGTACTATGAAGCTATCAGTAGCCACTGCAGCACAAGTTCAATCCCCAGTCAGGGAGCTACCCACATGGTGCAGCAGACCTCTCCTGGCCTGCCCACTGCTCCCCTCAGCAGCGTATCTCAGTCAATTGTCCTGTTCTGTTCCCTACTCTGTCTCTAGAGAATCCTCTCACACCCCCACACACACCCCTCTGGCCTGTACCCCAGTTTTTGTATGCATAAATAGATCTTTTTAAAAATGGCATAAAAATATTATCAACAAATAATTTTTGGAATATTAATTGATAAAAATGAGAAGAAATAGCTTCTCCCAATAATTCACTTTTATCCTTCTTTCCAAAATGTCATCCAAATTGATAGGAACTTGAGCTAATAATCAAGATATTTATTCTCCCACTATATTTGGCTGGTTCTAAATATAGCGTATGATGGTCTTTCAAATTTTGTCACCAAAACTTCTAGCCTAGATTGAGAAATAACTGTTCTTCCAGAAACCTCTCATGCATTCATTTTCTTTTTCACAGTAAGACAACAAAAGCAAAGTAAGTTCTATGTCTGTTCATCAATTTGGGGGCTGGTTGCTATACTGATTATTGCTTTTCTGAACGTGCAAGGCCTTGACATTCAAGTTTTCACCCTCTCTTAATTTTACATTTATAGCTTCTTCTAAAATTAATGATAAATAATTTAGAAAGTAAAAACCCATGGATAGAAAATGAAACGAGTTAGCTACGGGTGGCCTGTAGCTAAAAATAATGCTTTTGAACATTTTGTTTTATAAATTGTCACCTGTAAAAAAAAAGTTAACTATCACTATTTTTATTATTAGAGTTTATAAATAATTTTGGTAGAAAATTTACAAAATAAGTGAAGACAGAAATAAAATTTAATGTGAAATTTACATTTATTGAAAATCTATTTATAAGAGTCTACCATGCTCCGTGCAGTAGGGACCAGAACAGAAAAATGCACTGTCCTCCCAGAGTTTACATGAACTTAAACATTCCTGACATGTTTTTCATCTAGAGATATTGAGAATAGGAAGTAAAAGTAGTTCATTTCTCCCACTTCTTTCAGAAATGGAGCTTTTGGATCTTACAAAAATTTTCAGTATTAATTAAAAGTAAATTTTTGTCCTCACTCACTGAAGAGTATCAGTGAGTGTCATGTTCTCTATACCCACATAAGTTCCCTTTCCATTTGATATTTCTATTGTAAGCTCCCTGTAGACTTTTTTCTAAATGTGCTTGTTTCATTTCAAGGGAAAGAGTGACATTTATCTCTTTCACATCTACTCCTTAGAATTCTGCTAAAATATTTATGATTTTTTAGAAAGCCATAAACCACAAAGATTAGTGAAAAACTAAATGTGATAGATTTTTCCTAGTATGTTCAAATGTCTTGCTGTTACTGGAAAGCTGGTTTTAGTTCACCTAGCTAATAAAAGGAAACAGAGCTTGAAGAGAAGGAAATCTGTTTAATTTGTCAAAAAATTAAGAAGGGCAGCAGACTAGAGTCTGAAAGACCATGGTCCCTCTTTTTAAAAGAGGACAGGGGGATTTATCCAGAGTTACAAGGGAGTAGAAGGGGTAGTGGGCCAGGGTCAGCATGTCCATCCTTGTGATGCAGGCATCTGAAGATTTTGGTTCACACCAGCTTGCTCTCACCATCAACTGGTGCTCAGCAATTCAGATGTTATATTCCTACTGACATTTGCTCTTCTTCCCTCAGAATATAAGAAAACAAAGTTTGTTAAGCTGGGGGGATAAATAAAGAAAGGAAATGGGAGAGTTTTTCTGCTGGGACAGAGAGAGACATATGTATATAGTTTGTTGCTGCATCATTGCTGACAATAACATATTGCACACTTTCAAAGACTTAAGTAAGGACAAAATAGAGGTCACATACTACTGTCCTAGGAGGGAGGCAGGAAAAGTGAAATCTATCCTCACTTCTGACAGGGCTAGAGATGCTCTTGATCATTGAGCTTTGCATACAAATTGATCAACTTGGAATACTGAGAAATAACTGTAAAATGAAACTGAGAAATTATTAAAAGTAGAATGAAAATCTCTTGGCATTGGCCTTACTAATATTTCAATAAAAAGCTTTCATTTTCAACTAAATATAAGGTAGAAATGACAAAGAAAAGTTCCTCAAAAACTCAAGAAAGGGTAAACAGTAAGTGAAAGGAATAGCATGAACACAGAAGTAAAATTTAAAGGTTATGAGGCTTTTTCAGTTCTGTGATATCTCAATTTCCAAAAGAAACTGGATGATAACAGAAAATAACACTTCTTTCTCAATCTTACAAAACAACTGGAAAAGAGAGACTAAGGTATTTTTTTTTCTTCTCCATTCCAGAAATTCCTGTCTGTAAAGAATATTAGTAACAACTTTATTTTCAATGTCAATTCTGTTTTTGTGTCCACTATACTAATAATTTGTGTTTGGATTTTAGCACATGCAGCAGTACCTCTCAGTAAGTTTCTTATCTTTTCATCAAGCTGGTAAAAATTGGGATCCCAGAATGAGGAGAAAATTGTTTCTAATTTGGACCAATTCAATTTAATGTCTGCATCTATAAATATTCCCTCTCCTTATACAGCATCATGCTGGATAATAAATTACCCAATGGGAAGAGTAAACATTTGATTAAGAGACTATAAAAGAGACATTTTGTTTTCTAAAAGAAACAAAAAACCTAATCGATTTTTAATAACAAATAAATAGTTGTCCATACTGCAAAAAGAGAATAAAGACATGTAAGTTAGAATTTACCTAATGTGGAGATACCAGAATAGTATCAGGGAGGAATAGAGGAAAAGTCAGGGAGATTTAGGTGTGGGAGAGGAAAAAAAAATACTATAATTTTCATTCAAACTTGTTTAAAAGTTCTCTGCAGGATTTAAATCCTCCAAACTAAATAATGAAGAAAAGGAAATGTCCTCAGTATATAAGTACTAGCCCACTCTGCTTTTCTATTAGATTGAAATAGCCTGAAGCCTGTCATTTCAGACTGGGACTATTATCTTACCACAAAAGAAATGTTCATCCCTCTTATTCCATCATGATTGTCTTTCTGGGGAAGATTTGATGTTTTTTAAATATCTCTTTGTTAATGCCTTGGAATGGGAAAGGAAGAAAACTATATTCTTGATTCTAAAACTCTGCTAATAAATTTTTGTTTCATGTTGTTCTATCAGTTGCTCCAGTGCCTATTGGTAAGTTTCCATTTCTTAATTCTGGTATACTTTGGAAAATTTTCCATACAGTAAGGAATTACTTTCCCCCTTGGATCCCTGAATAAAATCTGGAAAATGAAACTGATAAATTGTTAAAATTATGAAAATTTCTTGGGATTGGCTCCACTAATATTTCAACCAAGAGTTGATTTTCAACTAAATATAAGGTAAAAATGACAAAGAAAAGTGGGACCACATTTTTATCTCTCCTAAACAAATTTTTCATGTTCCAATTACTCTAAGAGTAGAGTCACCAACTCTACTAGAGAGACCATGTTAGTTAGTCATTCTTTCAAAGAAACAGCCCCAGAGAAAAGCTTTTTTTATGTTTTTGGTACAAGATTCTGAAGTTACTCTAGTAGTTTAGCTCTTTAGTTGGTAAAGAAGAAAGAGTTTCTTCTAAGTTCTCATTAGATAGTGTAATCACTTTAAATTTTATGAGAGAGCTAAATAATTTATCAGGATAAAACATCTGTCCATTCTAACTACTTTTAGCACACTAGCATGTTTTACACATGACATTTCTTAAGCCGACTGCAGTATTCGGATTAAATCCCAAAGATTTTCATAAAGATGAAAAATGGAAAAAAAATCATCATCACAAAAGTTTTAAAATTAATAATTGTAATTAAACTTTCTATACTGCACAAAAGAATATGATGAGAATTGAAATAGTGGTTGGGGTCTGAAAGGGAAAACAGAAAAGAAGGTGAAAAGAGAACTTAAATTAGTAACCTGTAACTGATAATCTGTATCCTGAAAGGCTATGACTCTTGCCTGGTTAAGAATGTTAAATACATATATATATATATCACTGGAAAAAAAAAAAACAGTAGACCTTTACTCATATCAAACAAGCCTTCCAAAATGGCCTGCATATTTAGGTTTCTAAAGTAGAGTTAATATAATTTTAAAAAGAAGCATATTCATTATACAATTCAACAACATTTAACAAAACTAATAGTTTGCTTTATTTTATTTATTAGCAATTGGTCCAGTAGCAGCTGGTGAGTTCTGATTACCTTTCTCAGTTGCCTCTGGGCCTCTGAAGCATCTGGATTCCTTTAATTGCTTGACTCTTTTGACACCTGACCACTCAGAGGGTCAGAATATTTTCCATCCCTTTTCCTGACATTTTCTAGTATTCCTTTAAGGTACTAATAGCTTTGTTTATTTGGAGGAGGGGGTATTCTTGTTTTGTTTTTGGTTTTTGTAAATCAAAGACTCACAGAAGTGGGGAACTACATAGCAAAGATAAAGAAAGAAAATATTTCTTCATTTTGTTAAAGAATCAAGTTACAGAAGGGAAACCATGCTGGCAAAATATGTTAAGGTCAGATCATAGGAAAAACCATGAAAATAATACACTAAGAAATATATATTTCAATGTGAGGCTCCGAGCTCCCAAGACAAATGTCAAAAGATGAAAAGTGGCAAAAATTAAATGAGAAGATGTGAGAGTATAACAACAGACAGGCTGTGCAAATGTAAGCAAAGAAAATACTAACTGAAATAGAGTTGAAGTGAGAAAGATTGATTGTTGTTCTCTCTTTCATAAAATTTACCATATCTAAACCTGGACCACCACTGCAGCTCAGATAACAAGGTTTAGAAAAATTTTGAAAGGCTTTTCTGATTTTCTCTCTGAAAAAAAATTAAATTGAGACTTGCTTTTCATAATAGTCAGGCAAACTGTAAACATTTACTTGTGTTTCCATTGTCCAAAAAAAAAAAAAAACTAAACCAATTAAAAAGCAAAGATTAACACAATAAGATCAAAGAATTAAATATATGAAAAGATGTTTCATTATGCTAAGTGAAATAATTTAAAAAAAAAAGACTAATACAGGATGGTTTTGTTCATATGTAGAATAAAACAAACAAGTGAACTAATGAAACAAAACAAAAATAACTCTCAGATTCTGAGAACAGAATGGTGGTTATCCAAGGGGTGGGAGGAATAGGTAGTGGTGCAAATTTGATAGTGTTGAATGGCAGTAGAACTTTGGTAGAGCATGTAGTGTGGTAAATACATTTATCAAGGTATGATGCCATATTCTTGAAACTTACATAGTACACTAAACCATTGCCATTTATGACAACATGGATGGAACTGGAAGTAATTTTGTAAAGAGTAAAAAGTCAGAGGAAGAGACAAATACCACATAATTTCATTCATATGTAGAATAAAAGATAGAAAAAAAGAAAAGGAACAGACAAAATTAAACCAATACAGATCCTAGAAATGTTGACTACAAAATTGAGGCTCTCAGAGGGGAGTAAAGAGGGGAGGGACCCAGTGGTCTACAATGAAATATTATGGTTTTCTAGAAGGACCAGGAAAAAGAATAACTGATAAGAAAGAAAAAATCAAAATCAACAAACAACTATGAACCAGAGACACACTATGGGGGGGAGTGGGGAAAAGAGGGATTGGGGTCAAAATAAGGGGGTTGCAATTGTATGGGGAATATAAAAATTAAAAAAATAATAATAATTAAATAAAAGGTCCTGCACTGGGAAAAAAAAAAAAGAAATATTATGGATGCTTTGGTGATGGGTGTGGTGTGATAACATGCATCTGTAGAGATGTGAGCCTATACCCCTAAGTCACATGTAGGATTGTAGACCAATACTATCTCAATAAAAAATAGATACAACTTATATAATAGCAAAAAAAAAAGGCACAGTATATGTCTATAGTAAAAAAATAAAAGGCCCAGCCTCCCCGGTGGCGCAGCGGTTGAGCACTGGGTTGCAAAGCTGCCCGCAGCCTCTGCAGCACCGGTTCGATCCCCGGTTGCTCCCCGGCCACCAGAGGAGGGTCCCACATGGCGCACAGACCTCTCCGGCCGCCCGCTGCTCCCCTCAGCAGTGTACTTCCGTCCTTCTGCCTACTCTGCTTCCCGCTCTGGCTCTGGTGAATTCTCTCACCCTCCCACGCTTCTGACTGTACCCAGTGCTTGTATAAATAAATAAATAAATCTTAAAAAAAAACTTTTAAAAAAATTAAGTTAATTAATTAATTAATTGATTAATTAATTAATTAATAAAGAAAAGGCCCAGGCATATGCTGCTCAAAGTTGACTCATTTCAGTGTAAAATACCTACAAAGACACAAAATGAAGGGGTGGGAAGAGATATTTCATCCAAGTGGTAACAAAAGGAAAGTGGATTAGCCATTCATAACTAGAAAAAAATAAGACATCAAGCCAAAACAGGAACAAAAGACAAAGTTCATTATATAATGATAAAAAATCAAACATCAAGATATAAAACAATTGTAAATAAATATGCAACTCAACATCAAAACATTCCATCTAACTGTAGGAGGACACACATTCTTCTCAAGGACATATGAAACATTATATAAGAAAAATCATTAAATAAATCTTAGAAAAATCACTAAATAAATCTTAGAAAATTTAAGAAGACTGATATCATGCCAACTGCTTTCTGGTCTTAAGAAAATAAAATTGGCCATAAGAGGGAAGCCAGAAAACCTACAAGTTTATGGAAGTGAATAGCATATTTTGGAACACCCAAAGGGTCAGAGAAGAAATTAAAGGAAAATTAAAAAAAAAAAAGTTTTGAAACAACTGAAAGGGAAAAACAACATATGGAATGCAGCAAATGCCATTCTGAGAATAAATTATATAGTGATACATGCATATATATATATACACACACACACACACACACATACATATGAAAGATTTCAAATCAACAACTGAAGGGACTAGAAAAAAATTAATACAAAGTTAAAGGCCAGAGCCACAAATAAAAGAAAAAGATCAGAAAAAAAGATGGCATCAATAAAACTAAGCACTTGTTTTTGACATACCTTTAATTACACTAACTTTAAAGAGAGAGAGAAGACTGTAATAAAACTAGAAATGAGAGAAGAGCACTTACAACTGATACTACAGAAATATATCAGTCCACAAAAGACTGTCAAAAAATTAGATAACCTAGAAGTAGAAACATACAACCTACTAATACTAACTCAGGAGGAAATGGAAAAATAAAATCAGGTCAATAACAAAGAGATTGAATTACTAGTCAAATACCTCCCAATATAGAACACCACAGGTCCAGCTGGCTTCCAGAATTTGGTAAATTCTATTAAATATGTAAAGAATTGATGCCAATTCTTCTCAGACTCTTCTATTAAGAGGAGTGCAATTTGCAGCAACATGGATGGCGCTGGAAGGGATCATGCTCAGCGAAATAAGCCAAAAAGAAAAAGAAAAATACTGGATGGTCTCACTCATAGCAGGAATCTAGAAAACTTAAATAAGGGACCAGGAAAATGAATATAAGAAAGTGAAAATCAAAATCAACAAAAAACTATGAACCAGAGACGCTTTTTGGGGGGTGGGGGGCGGGAGGGGAAGGATTGGGGTCAGAATGGGGCGTTTGCAATTGTATGGGGGAATATAAAAATAAAATTTAATATTAAAAAAAATAAAAAAAGGAAATATGACCTAAGACTAGATTTCCAAGAAAAGAATTACAAAAATTATTTAAATATTGGTTTTTGATATTTAGAATTAAAACATTTTTAAGAAAAAAAAAAAAAAGAGGAGTGAAATCTTAAAAATCCATTCTCTGAAGCCAACATTACCCTGTTAATAAATTTAGAGAAGGCCATTCAAGGGAAAAAAGCATAGACCAAAATCCCTGGTGAATATATATGTAAGAATGCTAAACAAATTATTAACAAACTGAGTTCAAATACATATTAAAATAATTAGATAACATGATCCAGTAGAATTTATCCCTGAAATGTAATGTTTCAACATTTGCAAATCAATACGTGTAATACAACACTTTAATAGGATTAAAGTTAAAAATCAAAAGATTATGCAAATAGATAAAAAGATGGATTTGATAAAATGCAACATTCTTTCATGATTTAAAAAACTCTTGACAGGGCCTCCCCCGTGGCGCAGCGGTTGAGTGCTGGGTTGCGAAGTTATCCGCAGCCTCTGCAGTGCCGGTTCGATCCCTGGCTGCTCCCCGGCCACAAGAGGAGGGTCCCACAAGGCGCGCAGACCTCTCCTGCCGCCCACTACTCCCCTCATCAGTGTACTTCGGTCCTTCTGCCTGCTCTGCTCCCCGCTCTGGCTCTGGTGAATTCTCTCACCCTCCCATGCTTCTGACTGTACCCAGTGCTTGTATAAATAAATAAATAAATCTTTAAAAAAAAAATAAAATAATAAAAAAAAATAAAAAACTCTTGACAGACTAGGTATGAAAAGAGTATACTTCAGCATAATAAAGACAATGTACTTACCAAAGTCATCTATAGATTCAATGCAGGGTCCATTGAAATAACATTAGTATTCTTGCAGAAATAATGAAAAATAGTCCTGAAATTTGTATGGAACCACAACATTGTGTAGCCAAAGCAATCCTTAGGAAAAAGAATAAAGCAGGAAGTGTCACATTTCCTGAGTTCAAACTATACTACAAAGCCATAGTTATCAAAAAAAAAAAAAGTGGTACATAGTAGTGGTGTGTAAATACATTGATCAATGGAACAGAATGGAAAGCCCAAAATTAACCCCCTGCCTACACTGTCAAATAATATTTGACATGCACTGAAAGGGAAAAGGTGTTAGAAAAATTGGATAAACACAGGAAGAACAATGAAATTGAATCTCTATCATACACAACTCATATAAATTAACTCAAAATGAATCAAATATATAAACAAAAGACCTAATATCATAATAATTCTAGAGTAAAATGAAGGGAGAAGCTCCAGGACCCTTAGCTTGGCGCTGGTTTTCTGGGTACGATAACAAAAGCAAAAATCAACAAATAGAATTACACCAAATTTAAATTCTGCTGCAAAGCAAAAGAAACATGAAAAGGCAACATAAAGAATGGGAGGAATGCTTTACAAATTATACATCAGATAAGAGGTTAATGCCCCAAAGATATATTTTTTAAAAAATTATACAACTCAATAACAACTACACACACACACACACACACACACACAAACCATGCAGCCCAGTTAAAAATGGTCAAAGGAACTGAAAAGACATTATTCCAGAGAAGGCATCCAAATAACCATCAGGTATTTGAAAAGATGCTTAATATTACTAATTATCAGAGAAATACCAATTAAAACCATAGTGAGATCACTTTACACTTGTTATAATGCCTATCATCAAGAACAATATAATAAGTGTTAGTTGAGAATGCTGAGAAAAGAGACCCCTTGTGCAATGCTGATGAGAATGTCAACTACTGTGGAAAACAGGGGAGAGATTCCTCAAAAAAATAGATTTACTGTATGATCCAGAACTTCATTTCTGGGTATGTAAATGAAAATAGGATAGCAAAGAGGTATATGTATTCCCATGTTTATTGAAACATTCACAATAGCAAGCTATGAAAACAACCCAAATGCCCATCAAAAACTAAATGCATTGGACCAGTTTATTTAATGCAAACTGGTCCAACCACTATGGAGAGCTGTGTGGAGATTTCTGGACCTACTAAACATAGAGCTTCCATATGATCCAGCAATTCCACTCCTAGGTATTTACCCAAAGGACACAGAAACATCAATTCCAAAGAGCACCTGCACCCCTATGTTTATAGCAGCACTGTTTACAATAGCTAAGCTTTGGAAACAACCCAAATGCCCAAAAATAGATGGCTGGATCAAGAAGATGTGGTACATATATACCATGGAATATTACTCAGCATTCAAAAAAGATAAACACATGCAATTTGCAGCAACATGGATGGCGCTGGAAGGGATCATGCTCAGCGAAATAAGCCAAAAAGAAAAAGAAAAATACCGGATGGTCTCACTCATAGCAGGAATCTAGAAAACTTAAATAAGGGACCAGGAAAATGAATATAAGAAAGTGAAAATCAAAATCAACAAAAAACTATGAACCAGAGACACTTTTTGGGGGTGGGGGGCGGGAGGGGAAGGACTGGGGTCAGAATGGGGCGTTTGCAATTGTATGGGGGAATATAAAAATAAAATTTAATATTTAAAAAAAAAAAAAACTAAATGCATTAAGGGCCTCCACGGTGGTGCAGCGGTTGAGCGCTGGGTTGCGAAGCTGCCTGCAGCCTCTGCAGCACCGGTTCGATCCCCAGCCTCTGACGAGGGTCCCACATGGCGCACAGACCTCTCCTGCCGCCCGCTGCTCCCCTCAGCAGTGTATTTCATCAGTCTGCCTGTTCTGCTCCCTACTCTGGCTCTGGTGAATTCTCTCGCCCTCCCGCGCTTCTGACTGTACCCAGTGCTTGTGTGTGTAAATAAATAAATAAATAAATAAATAAATAAACAAATAAATCGAGGAAAAAAAAAACTAAATGCATTAAGAAGAATGAAACATTAGTCAATCTTGAGAAGGAAGGACATCCTATCATTTGTATCAACATGGGTGGGTCTTGGTCTCATTGTGCTAAATGAATAAATTAGAGGAAGATAAGTACAGCATGGTATGAATGTGGAATCTGAAAAAGCCAAACTCATTAAAATAGAAAAGAAAGTGGTGGTTATTAGGGGACTGTTGGAGGGGATAAGATAGGTGTTGTTTAGGGGTACAAACTTGCAGTGAGTATTAAATAAGCCCTAGATATCCAATGCACAGTATAGTGACTATAGACAATATAATATTGTAATCATTAAAATTGCTGAGATTAGAACTTGATCCAACCACTGAAAAGAAAAATCATTATGTATGTATCATGATGAAAGTGCTAATGATCACTCCAATAGCAATCATCTTATAATATATATAAATATACCAAATTAATATGATGTGCACTTTAAAGTTGTACACTTATACTATAAATATGTCAATAAAATTTTAATAAATTTACTAATCACAAAGTCTTTCTAAATTACAATAAAATAAGAGAAGAATAAAGGGAAATGAAGGTCCCCACATTTAAATAAATGGAATTTAGTTGCTCATGACATAGATTCTGTTCACTGTAGAAGTTCAGGATTTGGAAAATGCAAAGCCCAATACCTATTGATGTGCTTGTCTTTTTCTGTTTCAGTGGACAGTACTGGGAAAATCAGTAAGTTTGGAACATTTCTTTCTCTTCCCTTTTTCTGTGTCTAGGATCTTCCATGTTCCCAAATTTGTTTATGTTCCACATTCATCCACCTTAATTAATATTTCTTAAATAAGTAATTTTTTCTCTTATTTTGATTCCTTTTTATCTAATTTCCTTTAATAACAAAATATAATTGCCTTGTTTAATTCTAGTTATTTTCTACCAAAGATTATTGGCAGCATGTATTTCCAGCTTGTCTACCCCAAAGAAACCTGTTTGAATTTTGATAGATTAGATCTCAGTTACACAGGATTTAATCCCATACACTAAGTAAATCTCATCATAAAGATAGCCATCTCTGTCAAGTGGGCCAGAAGCATGTCTGAGAATGAAACCTCCCGGGGTTCCAATTTGGATGATCACCTACAGAGGGCATCACTGGGAACTGTGTTTTGTGTATGAAAATCCCCACTGACCATTCTTCTGTGTTTTATTTTCAGCACTATCTCCTGTGGGTAAGTTCCATATCTATTCCCAACTCTGTTATTTTACATTGTTTACAGTTATTTTCTAGTCCTGGCTGCTTATATTCCCAAAGACAGAGACTTGAGCTTCCAGTGTCATTACAAATGTCCCTATTCTCTAGAATCTTCTAATATTTTAAATAACTATTTTTTGGAGAGATTCCTGTAGAAGAGATAAAGTTCCTACAAGTGTCATAATGTCTGAACATTGTTCAGAGTCTGAAACAGAATCTCTTTACTGACTCTAGCAAAATACAATGAAAAAAAAAAAAAAAGTTTTCTGAATTCCATGAGTTCCTTTCCAGGAATTCGTATCCCTTTTTTTTTTAGTTTAAATTAAAGGCTCAATAAATCATATTAACAGAAAAAAACTGGTTAAAAACAAAATTTTATCTACTTTCTAATGCCTTCTACTTTCTGATAACTTTGAGAAATGCTGTATGTTGAGTACCTACCATATACTGTGCAGTGTTAGGCATTTTCAAAAACAGAATTTCTTGTTCTTGCCATAGCCCTGCTTCATTGCTACTTATTATCCCCCTACTTTACAGATCAAGAAACTGGCTCATATATGTGTCCAAGATTAAAATGATGGTAAATGACTATGTCAGAATTTAAATCCAGGATGTCACTTCTGAAATACTCATTCCAGGGCAACACACTGCCTCCTATACTGAAGCTTCAATGCCTTTTTTGTGATTAATCCTGCATCTTTATCTATAAATCAAATGTTTGTAAATATAAATATTCATCTACTAGAGAAACTATATAATTTATACAAAAGAGTCATATTAAAAATAGAAGGTATGACATTTACTCCTATATTTGGCTTTATTTTCTAAATAAAGCTTTCTCTATATCTGGGTTACTTATTACATGACTCTATTTCAAGAAAAACAATCATTTTTAAAGTTCTGTAAATGTATAATCACAAGAAACAAGACAAATGTAGTGAGATACATTTTAAGCATCTCAAATACAAAATATGTCTTCATAACTAATCATGTTCAGATTCATTCTCTGTCTCATTTGATACTAGGAGGAGGATGATTTTGCGAATGGGGGAGGAGGTGATGTTGAAAGGGGCAATTATTTTCTTTTGATTCAGAGTACAAGGGAAAAAAACGCATTCAGAGCAGTCCTGCTCAGAATGTCTATACCCCTCCCAGACCCTCCCAACATGGGGAAGGTGATGAGACACTGTGTTTTCCTTACAAAAGGGAAGAAGTAGGAGAAGGGATTACAGGTCAATTTCTTTTATGGATATGGATTTTTTTTTATTAAATATGTTTTTAATTGCCAGGGGAAAATCAGTTTAATTTTGAAAAAAGTTTTTCTTGTTAAACATGTATTCTTCTTGACAATATATTAAACATATTTTGTCCAGTTGATATTTTTAGTAAAATGAATTTAAGATTAACTCTTAACTTCTTAATTTTCAACTTAAAGGAAGTTAAGATGAACAATAATTAATTGTTAAAAGAAAGTGTTAAGGCAGATCAACTCACCAAATTTTATCATTCTCTCAATTTCTTACCTCTGCATTTAGCTAATAATATGATCTTTAAAAATATTGATTGATTCATAGCTGAGATCTTTAATGATTCATCTCTGTAATATTTTAGAGTCCAGATATTTTAGTCTGTGCTCCCTGATAGCTACTGGATTAAAAACCTAATAGATTTTTTTCTTAGTTAAGTCCGTTGTCTATCTTCTTCACTATTTTAGGTATATTATAATAAGAATTATTAATGTGGTAGCTATTTGATATTATCTTTCAGCTTTAAAAAAATCCAAATTAAAATTTAAAATAAGCCTGAATACATTAAAATGAGTATTACATCTTCAATAAATCATTTGATTGTGTTAGAGTTCTGTTGTAAATGGACTTTTAGCCAAGCTGTACAACCCTTCTAGAAATTATGAGGTCCAAGGAAAGAAAATATTTATACACCATCTCAAAATCTGGAAGAAGGGAGAGAAAAAAGTTAAAATTCAGTAGACTGATGATTTGTGGCTTATTTCTGTAATAAAAAGTTGAAATAAAAATGAATCTCACTCTATAGGATAACTAGCTTCCTGAAAAAATAATCCTAGCATATCTAATTTCTGTTGCTTCTGTTCAAGATAGAAGATACATAAAAAAATATATTGAAACAATTAAGGATATGAAGATACTGTTATGAGTGACTATAGGTATTTTTCAGGGTAGTGGAAAAAGAATAAAATATTTTAAATTCTATAGAATTAGAGAATGTTTAACTAAAATAAATACTGATAGCTTCATTAATCCTAGTTCATTAAATTTTAAAATACTTACTTTTGAGTAAAAAACCATTTACAATGTAAGAGGTAAATTTAGGTTAAAAATGGGTCATGCAGCACCACACACAGTAGTAAATAAGAAACAAATTACCCCTTTTGAGATGGTGAAACTAAAATTATTCATATATTAGGAAAAGTCAGCTTGTTTAGAATACATTCTGTGGGATTCTCATGGTTACAAGCTTCTATGGAAAAATTATTCTCCATATCACTTTACCCTACCCACACCTGTAAACAAAACCAGTGTCCACTGGTAGTACTATTAGATATCAAAACATTCACAACTCTTTCTCAATTCTAAGTGTGACATATATTACTACTGATTTTTCATTAGAAAATTGGAAATGGATTTGTCTATAAAAAAGTGGCAATACCCATAAATGACACTGAATGACACTAAGGGGGGAAATACACAAATGGACTCAGAAAGCATTACTGCATGATTTATAATGTTATCTATATTTGGTGTCAAAACTTTTAAAATAGCAAAGAGAAAACATCAGCGAACACTGAACTGCAATACCCCTATTGATTTATAATTACCTTCTTACCAAATGCAGGTGTATCTCCATTTTTAAAACTGGTAAATTCGGTTGTCTATGTCCCTTATTCAACCAAAGACTACATGTACTGAACAGCCTTATATGTAAAAAAGAAAGTCAAATAATTAATTTTTAAGCAAGAAGTCTTACTGCAATACAATTCACCATTCCTCTGCATTATTTGGTTGGAACTAAGAATGCCTTGTCTTGATAGATCAGAATTTCTTTGCCATAGTGTCTCATCCATTAGTAGTAATAGCCAATATTTATTGAATGCTCTCTATGTGCCATGGACTGTACTGAGTGCTTTACTTAGATAATATTTAATCCTTATAATACTTTCCATTTTACAGATAAGAAAGCATAGTTTGCCCAAGATCATGCAGATAGTGAGGTGTGGAGGCAGGGTTTGAACCAGGATCTCTCATAATTCTATGCTCCTTAAATAACTCTACAAATAACTCTACAAAGAGTTATATTTATATTATAAATATGGGGAAATTGAGTCTTTGGGGATTGACCTTTATTATATTATTTATTATTAACCTTTATTAATTCAAATAAACCCAGGTAGCAGAATGCTAAACCTAGGTGTTCCTACAATCAAGGCAAGGCATGTGTCTGTTCCATAGCCACAACCTATATAAGTTTCCTGCATTAGCATAGATATGTGTATATTTTCTTAATTCATGGAGTCTAATTGCTAAAAAAAAATCGCAAAAGCTAAAAATTTCAAGTTTATTAGCTCATACAGAAATGAGGGCATAGCAGAAATGGTTTATCTACAAATGTTAAAACAGTCCTGAAATTTATACAAAGTGAACAGATATCATTAGACACCATCTAGGGTATTGATTAAAACTTAATTCTGGAATCTTTAACTACTCAGGTTCAAAATCTAGCTCCACCACCTGCTATCTCTATGACTATATTCACATTCATTTAAACTTCCTTTGCCTCAGTTTCCTCATCTGTAACACGGGGATAATAATATCTTTTCTGCATGATCGTTGTGAGGATTAAATGAATTAATACATATAAAGTGTTCAGTTCAGTATGAACTAAATATGGTAAGAATACGGTAAGCTCAATAATTTTCTATGTATCATAAACTCAATATGGTAAGCACTCAATAATTTTCAGCTAGAATTATTTTTGCATAATAAGGCAAAAATAATTTTTTTTCAATTTGGAAAAAATTTTGTGAGTTTCTTTTTTTCTATTTTAAGAAAGAATCATTGCTTCTTTCCACAATTTTATCTAAAAACAAATTTCATCATTAGAATATATACCCTTCTTTAGCTATTACTATGATTCATTAGCCATAGTATATAGAACAAATGAAAGTTCATTTATAGTACATTTTGCCCTGTCTTTCATTAATGTTCCAATTTACTGAAAAGAATCTAGAATATTATCAATAATACATTATTTGTATGTATAGGTTACACCATTTTATATTTTCAGGAAAATCTCAAGTTATCTCCATTTCATCAGTTTTAAGACAAATAAAAATGATTATCAGGAGAAAAAATGTAGGAATGCAGAGAAAATACTTGGTATCTGAATAGTACGCTTTTTTTGTGTTCTCAGTTATATTTCCAGGTTACATGAATGGAGAATTTGCAAAAAAATCTGATTCCAGAGCCCAGATTCAAAAAAGTGGAAGCATTAAAAAATCTCAAAGTAGCCAAGAAGAAAACAAGGCAAAACTACAGAAGGGCATTGTTTTCATGGATCCTGATGAATCCTTGACATCAGCAAGCAAAACAGAGTCAAAAGGCAAAGCAAAAGGGACCGAGTTGGAGAAAAGCAAGATAGGAATGAAGGTCAAAGTAAAGGAGAGCGATGCCAAGATGCTCAAAAGACAAGAGGCACAAATAAAAGAGAGTGACATGAGAACACCAAAAGGACAGGAATTTCAAGAAAAGGAACATGAGGCTGGAATGCCAAAAGAACAGGAGATCCAAGTAAAGAAGAATGAGGCTGGAATACTAAAAGGAGAGAAGGCCCAAGTAAAGAAAAGTGAAACAGGATCACCAAAAGGACAGGGGACCCAAAGAGAAGAGAGAAAGGCTGGAATATCAGAAGGACAAGAGGCCCTAGGAAAACAGAGTGAGGCTGGGATACCAGAAGGACAGGAGACCCTTGGGAAGGACAGTGAGGCTGGGATACAAGAAGGAGAGGAGACCCTTGGGAAGGAGAGTGAGGCAGGGATACCAGAAGGAGAGGATACCCTTGGGAAGGAGAGTCAGGCTGTGGGGAAGGAGAGGAGGCAGGGATACCAGAAGGAGAGGATACCCTTGGGAAGGAGAGTCAGGCTGCGATACCAGAAGGACAGAAGGCCCTTGGGAAGGAGAGTGAGGCTGGGATACCCAAAAGAAAGTAGTCCCAAGAAAAGAAGGTCAGTTCTGCGGATAATAGAAAGCAGGACAAAGAAAGGGAAAATGCAGGGGAAAATAAAGAAGAAAAAAATACTAAAAACAAGAGAAGTGGTGAAGAAAAGGACAAAGTCAAAGGAAAGAAAAAAATCAGAAGTCAAGGATAAAAAGCAGACAGGCCAGTAAAAAGCAAAAGTTAGTAAAGGAAAGAAGAACAGATGACAGAAGAGTAAGAATAAATACAAGGAAGGCCATACGACAGCTGATTATAAAGACCCCATCCTTCAGACCTAAGTCATACCCTAGTCATTGCCTAATGGATCCTATTTACCTAATTCCTTAATGTATCTGCTGACTTTCTGCTTGTTGGAATTTTCATCGTTTTTAGACTTCTCAGCACAGATCTTAGCTTCTGATTTTTTGTTTTATAAGTTGATAATTACTTAGTCATGAAAGACTGGACACTTTCTGAAAGAAAACATTTTGATTAAAGAAATATATGATAACTTCCTTTGATAAGTATTAAAACTCTGATAACCTGACCAATTAACCATCTAATAACTCTTCATAGTGAGTCTAATATTTACATGGTGCTGTTCTAGCAATAAAAGATACACAGAAATGGATGCCAGAGTCTCTACAATCAAGTAGCTTGTAAGACAAGTAGTGTGTGTAAATAATGTGTGTATATATGACATTTCTTAAAAGTAAAATCTAAGTGTCAAAATGTAGTTTAGGTAGGCAGTATAATACAAGTTATCAGTCTCTTATAATGAAAAGGTAAAGGACATAGTTTCACAGGGCAGGGAATGGTTTAAAATGTGTCTTAAAGATGGATAAAATGTTGACATGCTGAGTGAAACAGAAAGAGGACAAGAAAGGCAAAGGGGTAAAGACTGGCATGCCACACTGTGGCAGGAGGCTTGGGAGAGGCTTTCCAATGATACTTTTGAAAAGGAGAGCTAGAAGGAGATTCCAAAGGGATTTGAAAAACAAATCAGGACTTTATATTTTATTCTTCAGGAGACTGGATGCCTTCTGGGGTGTCTAAGAAGGAAATTGAAATGAACAAGATTGCTTTGCAAAAACTGTTAATCTTGTGATTGTGCAAAATAGACTGAGGAAGAGAAAAGTCATAGGTAGTCTGTAAATCAAAGTGCTTGGAGTAATAAATGCTTGACAGAGACTACATAGAGAGGATAGATAGGGTTGTTTTTGTTTTTTTTTTTTTTCCCCAAAGACAAATCACTATTTTGTGATGATTATATGTGAGTAAAGAAAAGGAAAAAAGCAAAATCAAAACAATTGATTCCATAACTTTTAAAACTGATTGGGGCTGGGGTGTTAAAACTGATTGGGGCTGGAGTGTAGAAAATCAATAGCAAACTAGGACTTAGTTGTTGGAGACAAAGACATTTGTCATTCCAGAGAGGTCTGGAGCCAGTCCAGCAGAGGTAAGAGTTGAAGCCATGAGTGAGCTCCTCAAAGGAGAAAGTAAAGCACTAGGAAGAGCAGAGGCCCAAGAATTGGCAGTTATATGTAGCAAAAAGCTGAAGAAGAAAAGTAAGGTTGAAGCATCTGGGGGTGGGGAGAGGATGAAAGAAGGATAAGAAGAAAAAGGGAGGAAAGTGTGATGGACTATGGTGGTGGACTAGGGGTGAGTTGGTGGTAGGTGTGCTATAGTGCCAATACCTGATAAGAATATCCCAATATTATCTCAATTAAAATATATATTTTTTAAAAGAAAAGATAGACTTCAAGGAGAATAAAAACTGAAAAAGACTGGCATACTGATTATTTAGAGATGACTGATGAAAGAGCAAAGAAAGGGAGCTGGCAAGAGTGTCAGCAGCAGAATATAGAAATGCAAGGAAGTAGCTGCAGAATATGCCCTCCAATAAAGTAAATTTTTAGTCATCTTTAAAAGTATAGCCCTTAGGATTTTTATATTTTTACTAGTCTATTTTTTGCTTCCTCTCACATACTCTGTATATTATGTTCTGTGCTGCTGTTGGATATGGATAAACTGGAGCCCCTCCAAAGAGAAACACTAGATGATAAGGGGTCTCACTGCATTTTAATTGAGCAGGAAATAGCATTTGACAGGAAATAAAAAAAAAGAAAAATGAGATAAGATAATTTTCAAATAAATGAAGGTTCAATATTAATTAAAATATTTTGTAAAGTCCCTAAGAAAACAAGAACAATACCTGATGGTCTCACTCATAGCAGGAATTTAGAAAACCTAAATAAGAGACCAGGAAAAAGACTAATCAATACAAAGTAAATAATCAAAATCAACAAGCAACTATAAACCAGAAACATACTGAGGGGGGGGAAGGAGAGAGGGGTGAGGAGAGGAAGAACTAGAGTCAAAATAAGGGGAGGGTGCAATTGTATGGGGAATATAACCAAAATGAAAATGCATACATTGTGCAAAGATGAAAAATGATGTAAGAATTATATAAAATAAAATATAAAAAAATAAATAAAAGAAAAGAAAAAGAAAACAAGAACAGTGAACGGAAAGTTCAAGGTAACAGAATTGAGAGCCTTAGTAATCAACTGAGTGGCTGAAAAAGATTATCTTTATGGTCCCTTCCAAATGTGAATCTATAATTCAAAGTATAAAATTCTTTTGGACTATCTAGCTATCTTTCAAGGAATCTCTTAAATGAATTTCTATGCTTTGATCTCTAAATTGTAGGGAGAAGAGTGGGGGGGGTAGGAGAAAAAATATTGAATATGAAGTTTTTATATTGTGCATTAATTAGTTCTATCTCCCTAAAATATACACATTTAGAGATTTTTTTTTTTTACCAGCCTTAGTTGACTTATTTCTTGCATATATTATGATATTACCAGGGGGAAATGTGACTGGTGATCTTTTCATGTAGTTAAAAACATTTAGGGTTTCATGATCCTATGTCACTTTTCTCTCTCACTGGTCCAGCTGGCTCATAGGTTTTCGAAGGCTATGACAAAGATAGCTTTTCTCAAATTTATGCTCAGAGGCAGGGACCCTGTCATGTCATCTACTAAATAACAGCAGACAGATCAGCAATCCACTTTAACTGACTCCATATATCTGATTGTCTATCCAAGTGCACCAAGGATTAGGAAGAAATGCACCCATAGAAACCTTCATGTATCTTCTCCATAATTTCTAACTTGCAGTCAAAACATTTTCAGTCCCACAAGGTCCTTGAAGGCAAATAACTGATACAATAGAAAACTCAAAACTATAAATTTCAAACCATTATCCAAATGCCAGAGAAAAATGGTTAGAAACATTAATCCTTCCTTAAAGATACAGAAATCTAAAGAGTATCCCAGAAGATGAGAGAGGAAATATGAGCTATCAAAATGGCATGATGTTTAGCAAAATGATAACAAATACTAATAGAATTAATAAGCTGATCTACTTTCAAGATAGTTTAAAGTCAGGGATATGAAACTAAAGGGACAACATCAGTGTTAAATTTTGTTTTACAAGTTAGTTAATACAAGTGCCAAATGTCCTATTCACAAGGACAAGCAGAAATGTATCAAAATCTTCAAGTTGGTTGCTAACAAATATCTTAAAAGTTTTCATCACAAGGAAAAAAGAAAATTTATAACTATGTGAGGGAATGGGTGTCAACTTATTGTGGTAATTATTTCACAATATATACATTTGTCATTAATTTGTACACCTTAAACTTAGACAATGTTGTCAGTTGCATCTCAATGAAACGGGAACACTTTCATATATATTAAAGGTATACAATTACTACTTGTCAATTATAATTCAATAAAGATGGAAAGAAATACAATGTTTGTCATTGTATGTTTAGGAATGGGATAAGGAAAAAAGAGCAAGAAAGTGAGTTTAGTGATAAGCTGAATAAGGGCCTCCCTGGTGGTGTAGGTATTAAGTCTCACCCTGATGGCCTGAGTTTGATCCCCTCCAGGGAGTTAACACACATATGGCAAAACAGACCACTCCAGTCTCATCTGCTGCTCCCCTTAGCAGTATATTTCAGTAGATCCACCTGCTCTGCTCCCCACTCTGTCTCTGGTGAAACCTCTCATCCCTCAAACTTCTGGCCTATGCCCAAGTTCTTCTATGCATAAATAAATAAATCTTTAAAACAAAAAAACTGAGTAAGAATTGCAAATATAATAGGAAATCGACAATTTATAGAAATTTGTGTTTCCTCTCCCATTTAAAGATTTTTAGGTTAAAATTGCATTAAGTATCCAATTTCCCATTGCCTGAACATATCTCTCATCCCAGGTTGTAACTGACAGATCTAAGAAATAAATACGGGAAGTTGGTAAAGGGAGAAATGTGTAGAATTTAAAAAGAAAAACTGAAAAGATGATCAAAATATTCAGTATTATATTTGATGAAGTTCTATTTTAATCTCCTAAAATCATTAAGAAAAGGAAAAACATAAATGGATGTTAGACTTTGTTGAGTGCTTTCTCAGCATATATGGATATGATCATATGGTTTTTATTTTTCTTTTTGTTGCTGTGTTGGATTACACTTATCGATTTTCATATGTTGAACCATCCTTGTGCCCCTGAGATGAATCCCACTTGATTTTGGTGTACTATCCCTTTGATGTATTGTTGGATTCTGTTGGCAAGGATTTTGTTGAGGATTTTTGCATCAGTGTTCATTAGGGAGATTGACCTGTAATTTTCCTTTTTTGTGCTGTCTTTTTTTGTTTTGGTATTAGTGTAATGTTAGCTTCATAGAACATATTTGGTAGTATTTCTTCTTTTTCAATTTTTTGAAAGAGTTTGTGTAGGATAGGCACTAATTCACTGCTGAATCTTTGGTAGAATTCATTTGTGAAGCCATCTGGGCCTGGGCTTTGGTTTTTGGGCAGTACTTTGATTACTGCCTCAATTTCTCTGCCTGTAATTTGTCTGTTCAGTTGTTCTATTTTCTCTTTGTCCAGCTTTGGATGATTATATTGTTCTAGGAATTTGTCCATCTCTTCTAGGTTGTTGAATTTGTTTGCATATAAATGTGCATCATAATCTCTGATTAATCTTTTGATTTCTACTGAGTCTGTTCTGATTTCTCCTTTTTCATTTGTAATCCTATTTATATGTGTTTTCTCCCATTTTTTCTTTGTGAACCTGGCTAGAGGTTTGTCTACTTTATTTTTTCAAAGAACAAACTTTTAGTTTAATTGATCTTTTGGATTTTTTTTAATTTCCAATTCATTTATTTCTGTTTGATTTTTATTATTTCCTTTCTTCTACTGGCTTTGTTTTTTGTTGTTGTTGTTGTTGTTCTTTTTCTAACTCTTTGAGATCTGAGATTAAGTTGTTTCTTTGAGTTCTTTCTTGTTCGTTGATGTGAGCCTGTATTGCTATATATTTTCCTCTTACTAATGCTTTTGCATCATCCCATACATTCTGAAAAGTGGTGTCTTCCTTGTCATTCAACTAAAAGTATTTTTTAATTTCTTCTTTGATCTCCTGATGAGTCCAGTAGTCTTCCAGTAGTGTGGATTTCAATCTCCATGAACTGGGAGGGTTCCTTGTTTTCTTTTCATGATTTATTTCTAGCTTAATGCCTTTAGAAGATAGTTGGAATGATTTTGATCTTCATGTA